AGACAAACAGCGATAGCAATGCATGAAAGTGTTTCCTTTGATACTGTTTCTTCCACCCTGTTTTGTCCAACTTTACTAGAGAGTAATAGCCCCTTTGTACATTACCATGTAATATGCAACCCTTGTGGAGCTCCCTTTAAAGGTTAGTCCAGAGCGTTGTAATGCATTTTTATACATTTTTTTTTCCCTAAAATGTTTGTATTCTTTCCTTTTGATCAATGAAATATGAAATAATAATTTCTGTAATCCCCAATCCATGCCAGGGAATAGTAATAACTGGCAAATCTGATCTCTTCCTTAAATTTTGCCCTCATCTGTCTATTAGCAGTGTTTATAAGTTTACACATGAGTATGGATAAATGACAACTTTCTGGAGAAACCACAGACAGAATTCAACTTTTCTTTCATGGTGTACAAGTTGAAGAATGGATGTTCTTTTGCTTAAAGAGAAGGACCAGGAACCTCTCTATCCCTAGTTTTTTTTAGGGCTTCACGTGACCTTAGAGTGATTTATTAAATCTCGCAATTCCTCTTAAAATGGGAACAATAAAACTTAGCTGCTTTTCTTGTGTGGTTTATGCCAAGAGCTCTGGTGTTCTGCAGTTATTTTGGCCAAAGGATATCTATTGGAACAAATATTTCTATATCGTCCCACAATCCACTCAACTACTTGAATTATGCTGCCAAAAAGACTATATTCTTCCTTGTTTAAGGCAAACAGAGCTCCCTGCTTTCAGATAATCCCAGAAACTTCCCTACATATACTCCTCAGGCAGACCACCGTGCACTGCTTAGAGCCAGACTCTGCAAGAGTATAAATGCAAAACTTGCTAACGTGAATCCGTAATGAATGCCTTTCACCAAAACAAAAAGATGGAGTGAACGTGTATTAGCTTTGGTCTATGACACAACTTTAAAAGCTTTTGTATAAATTACAGGGGGAAACATCAAGCGTGGTCACCAGTGTATGCTCCTACAGAAAACGAATAAAGGAGATGATTTTTTACAAAAGAACCATGTTATCTGTGACCTCTTAAGTCTTGATCCCGAGCTTGAGAACTTAACATTCATAATTACTGGATACTAAACATTATAGACTCACTAGAGATCGGTTTGACTGGCAAATTACCATTTCCATACTTCTCCCACAACCAATAATTATGTCTCTGTATCTCCTCAGGGTTAATTATATCATCACCTTTCTTCTTGCCAACACTTCCTTTCTGTTCCACAAGTACCAACCCCTTTATCTCTCAAATTATCTAACTAAATAATATAAGCTAAACTCGGAACTATTTTTTTTTTCAATCCATGTTTAGTTTTGAAGATTTTTATCAACATCAGTTCTGAAAAGATTGCATACCTAAAATTTTGTTGGACTTTCAACCAATGAAGTGCTGCCTCTCCCCGTGAATCTTGATCCATCATGTACACAAACACAAATCATGTAATTGTTACTTCTGATCAGAGCGGGGGGAAAATGGTGTAAAACTCAAACAACAAAACACATAAATAATAACACTTGGTGTTTTGATTGATTAACATAAAATAAAGGCAGTGTGAACTTCACTGCATTAAATTAGCAGTAAGACAATCATAGAATCACAGAATGGTTTAGGTTGGAAGGGACCTTGAAGATCATCGAGTTCCAACCCCCCTGCCCTGGGCAGGGACACCTCCCACCAGCCCAGGTTGCTCAAAGCCCCATCCAGCCTGGCCTTGAGCACCTCCAGGGATGGACCTTCCACAGCTTCTCTGGGCAACCTGTGCCTCACCACCCTCAGAGTGAAAATTTTCTTCCTTTTATCTAGTCTAAATCTACCCTCCTCCACTTTGAAGCCATTCCCCCTCATCCTATCACTACATGCCCTAGTAAAAAGTCCCTCCCCAGCTCTCCTGTAGCCCCTTTAGGTACTGGAAAGCCGCAATAAGATCTCCTCAGAGCCTTCTCTTCTCCAGGCTGAACAACCCCAACTCTCTCAGCCTGTCAAACTACCTAAGCAGCTCTGACAATGGGATTAGAAGTGCAGCAGATAGATAGTCTCTGATGCTTCCCTTAACTGGTGTCTCCAGCCAGTCTGTGTCCTTGTGGCTAAGGATCCTCTTTCCTGTGTCTTCATACTGACAGATTGGGAATTTACAATCTTCCTTTAAGTAATGGCTACTGTCACAGAGTTTTAATACACCAAACTGACACATGCTGGATCTAACATCTAACTTCACGTTAGCCTAGTCATGTGAAGAAGCAGAACTGCACCAATAAATCAACCCAGAATGATCCTCAGCTTCTCAAACGAGCGTGAGGCTGTTCCGTTGCGAGGTTGGGCGACATCACGCAGCAAGATGCAAAGGAAATGGCACCACCTGCGCCGCTTATTTTGGAGAAGAGAAAGAAAACCTAAGAATAGTACATAATTAATTAATAACACGAGTTCACCAGTGGGTGGAATGCTTCAGGTTGTCAAATGGTGACAGGTGCCGATTAAAAAAATTGCAAGTTAAAAAAGACATTATTGCATAATTTCACCACACGGTGGCACTCAAAACGTTAAAGATGGTAACGGGGACAAGGTAAGGAAGGGAGAGCGCCTGCTTGGGCGCTAAAGGCACTGCAGGGACACCTCAGCCTCAACGTAATTTAATTTCCCAGGTCAACTTCAAGATCAGAAAAAATATTGAGCACATCTTCCTTCATTGAAAATGTTTAGAAACACCCCTCACACCACTATATGTAACAAAGGAATTAACTTAAGCCTTGTTTTATTGTACCCATCATCTTTTTATCATCTTTCTTCTCCCCCGTCTACTCTTCCTCCTTCTTGCAGCACACCTAAAATTTGGCCTGCTGGGGAAGGGCTGTGCATGGACAGCCTAAAATTCTACCAAGTTCCAAACATGATGCCAGCCATTAAGTAAATCATAGCATTATAGAATCACAGAATGGTTTAGGTTGGAAGGGACCTTGAAGATCATCGAGTTCCAACCCCCCTGCCATGGACAGGGACACCTCCTGCTAGACCAGGTTGCTCAAGGCCCCATCCAGCCTGGCCTTGAGCACCTCCAGGGAGGGACCTTCCATCCAAATGGAAATTACCAGCAAGATAAGCTGCAGATGGCGCAGACATATTTGGAGAGCAATTTAGGAGTGCTTTCAATGTAATTTTTCTCCACTTTCCCCACGCCACTTGAGACACAGTCTTAGCGGAACAGTCCTTGGCAGGAGAATTTAGTCTGCGGTATTGAGATTAGAGTTTGTCGCACAATATTGATATCCCTCTCTTCCTGA